CATGAATCCTCCGTTTGGCGATTGGAATTCTTTGGTCACTTAAAAATGAACGACAGAGTTACTGATGATGTTAAACACGATGCATTAAGCAGCTTTGGCACCAACCCCCTGCTCTCTATTAGCAACACTGTTGGAAAAGCTTAAGAATACAGGTTTCCCCTGTGGGGTGGGGTGGGGGGGTGAAACTGACAGTGGGGTCAGACTCAGCGTTTCCCCTTCAGTCACAGCCAATAAGCTCCAAGCACATATAATGCAAAAAAATATTATCAACACAGTAAATATTTCAAATAAATATTTGCATAAATAGATGATATGAAAAAGGACATGCGGCTGGCATGAAACATCAAAACACACACACCGAACGCCGTCGTTGATTAAAATAATTAATACTCATGTCAGAAGGTTTAAACAGACCTCTGAGCCACATGTGATCAGGATCAATGAGCACTCGCTCTGAACTCTGAGAAGCAAAACAGGATAAAAATAAAGTTCTAAGCTGAACCTTTGTGATCTCCAGGATTTCACTGGCTTGTTTATGGTCCCGTCTTCAGCACTGTGGAGATCTCTCAGAAACCTGCTGAGCTCATGGCAGAGATGAGACGTGGGCTTTATTCAGACAGCAGACGAATCAGATTTGTTTCTCAAATAGGACCTTTAGGACTGCGCTGTTATTTGCAAGTGATCAGATGGGATTTGTGTGGCCAGACATCACCAGACCCTACACGCCCCCTCCCGAAGAGCCAGCAGGCAGTTCTCTCAGGCATAATCTCATCTGGATACAATGTGGCTTTGTGGAAAAGGGAGTGAAAAATGAGCTGGAAGTAAATTTGCAGCAGGTTGTAAAAAGGATTAAAGCATCCAAACGGGCAGCTGTTTGGACCACCTGTGGTGCTACGGAGCAATACGACGTGTATGTGGTGACAGAGTATGACAGAGGTTATAGAGACGAGCGTATGAAGAGATGCAACAATGCAAAGAATGTAAACATGGCTGCTTCTTCACGGGGTGTCAAAAACCCCTGGAAGTCACGGACACGAATGAAGCACGAGGGTGAGGAAATATTATCAAAAGCCTCTGTGATTCTTGTGATGAGACATTATGACAATGCTGGACCAAAATGAGGATTCTGCCAATCAGTCTTCAAACACTGAGAACTCATAGATGTCATTTAAGAGCTCCGTGTTTGTTTCTTTGCACTGTTCAGGGTTTAGGAAACAGTTGAACTGAGAGCACAGACGGCACATTTACTGAGAAACATTTCAAATAATATAGAGAAGCCTGTTACATTTTTATTCCTCGTACCGTATCCTGCATCAGGAAACAAATCCTTCATACTGACGTCACTTAATGACTGCCTGACCATCGATCATTCACCAGCTCCTAAAATCTACTGCAGCATTTCTGATTTCATCTGTTTATGTCCCTCACTGACCGACACTTTGCCGCCTCCGGCCGCTGCTTTCGCGTTTCGTCGCTGCGACATCACACAATGATGTCATAGAGTCTGCCGACCCGGCCCAGCCATTCGCGCAGGGCCTGGCGAACGCGGGCGTCGGTCACGTGGCAGGAGAGCTGGCTGAGGCAGGGGTAGAGCGCCGGCTGGAGCGCCAGGAACGAGGAGTCAGACAGTAGGAG